GTGTGTGTTTTATTCCCTGTTCGACTTTCAGGTTTCTTCTAAAGATCGTTTGTCTCAATCTCGCTCTTAAAACCGCTCGGGAAAGGAGGCATCCCGGCCACCGGGGGGAGTTTCGCCTTCTCTACCCTTCGGCTGCGCCTGTGCCCGCAGTTGCCGTCCTCGCCCCCTCCTGTGGCCGTACTGTCTCGCCGCTGCTTTGTTCTCCGCTTGCGAGGGGCAGTTTCAGGGAAATCCTCGGGACCAAGCCAGCCGGGCTTCTGGGAGCGCTTGAATTCACCCTGCTCGTCGCCTGTCTCCCACCATGTGTATTTATGGCAGCTTTTTCAACTGGAAGATTGTTTACATGCTTCTTCGGACTGCCTGGGGAAAAGTAAACTGAAATTATATTCCTGGTGGTTTTTAGCCTGAGACAATACTTTATCTCATATTTATAAATATTTAGAAATATAACACATTTATTTACTATCCACACAATAACTTTCACATAGCCATAACTGTACAGTTTTGTTCAGTTCTTTTGTTAGTGTGGTTATCTTTTTTTCCCCCCAAACCCAAGTTATAGTGACGCTTGGGTTTCAGGGCACTTCAGAATCGTTTTAAACAAGCCTGCCACAAAAGGCTAGAACAGTAACTTCTGGTTTTCCTGAGATATCTCAGTGCAACCAATCCTGACATGGGGGAGGACTGGAAAACATGCTGCTGACTACCACGTCCTCCATCACTGCAACCCTGAAAACACGCTATGACCGCCAACCAAATAAAAATGACTAAACCAAACTTATCTTCTTTTCTTCTATGTCAAATGTAATTATGATAGAATTTCTATACCATTACTATCTCCAGTATTGTTTGCCAGTCCTCTTCAGTCTAAAAACAACAGCAGAACTTAAAGGGAGGGGTTTTAAATTTCCACGTCCACAAATCTCACTGCCAGTTGTGGGAGTATTAAGCAGGAGCTTGCCAAGGACGTGTAACCTCCTCAATTTGTAAAAAAACCCACAACAGGGTGATCTTCAAACAGATGCACAGAAAGCAATTCAGTGTTACAATTTCAAAAGTACTCAAATGCTCTGTGAAACATTTTCAGAAAGTTACACTGAAAAGAGGCAAGTCCCAAAGTCAGAACTGCAGGATGAACTCTGTAACAGGAGAAAAAGAGGCAACTGACACTTAAAAGGGAGGAAGGAAGAACAGGAAAGTATACTATTCTGAAAGTTCACTAGAAAGAAAAGGTATACAGTATTTTTAATCAGTCATTAGCACAATTAAATTTAATTACATAATGACTCAATCCAATGCTCTAAACTTCAAGAAATGTCTTGCAGCTGTTACGATGGTGCAAACCACAGAGAAAAGCAAGCAGAAGCAAAAAAATAGAAAATAGGATCCTAACATGGTGTATACTCATTATAAGAAAATACTTTATTATCTCCCAGTATTAGAATGTACAGTGAAAGCATTTCATTTTTCTGAATGCAGAATTTTTAGTTTATGTTAGATTTTTTTTTTTTAGTCAGCAGTGTGTATCCACTGATGGCAACTCACCCTTTGGAAAAGCACTCTTCCATAATGCCTAGGCAGTTGAGGAGAAAGAATATTCATTTCCAGTTTCTTTTTCCTCTTCCTCCACTGAGTCATATTTGCTAGCCACTGCATCAACACTGTTGGTAAAACCTGTTAGGAACAATTTTATTATCCGTGGAAGACTACCTGTAATAATTAAAAATATGTTACTTCATTTAAAAAGTGTCAATGGAAAGTTCCAGAAAAAGTAATCTAAAGATACATATTTAAAGTATATTTTAAGTATATTTATATATGTGGATTCTCTTTCTGTTCATAGTTCTTGACTTCACGACAAATAGAAAAAATAAGTTCTGAATATTACCAAAGTCTTAGAAGAGAACTTTTTACAGCTGGACTCACCAAACCTTTTGTCTTGACCATTGGTCAGCCTTTCCAGAGATATCACTGTAGTTTTAGCTAAGCAGGTTTTATTTCTAGTGGTGACTGCAATTGTTGCATACTCAACTAGGACGTTCGATCCGGTTTCAGAATTAAAACTCCCTGTTACACATAGGTGGTTTTGGAAACGCCTTAAAGCAAACAAAAGCCAGTGGAGAGGAGGAGTTAGGGTAGATGTTTGTTCAGAACTGCTAAAATACAGCCTTGCAGAAAAAAAAGCATTGCTTTTTTTGAACTTATGTCAGAAGTATTTAGAGCTACTCTGATCTACTAGATGGGACTGTCGGTAGCACTAAACTGACTTTGCACGCAGCAGGACTAATAGGAAAAATAACATACAGATTGACATTTTGCATGAGGGATTTCATAATACACAATGTGAACGATTACAGCATTAGCCTTCCGCTTTCTACCTTAACTGAGAAGCAACCACCTTTGTCTTAATGCTACTTTGCTTTTGATTTGGTATGTGGATACTCCCACGTAATAGTATTTAGATAAACCAATACAGCAACAAAATTAAAACTCAAGCATTGACCCTTCCAGATTGAGAACTGTTTAAATTTGTAGCAATTAACTTTTATGTATCTGATTTCAACCATAGATCTCAAAGCATTTCAAGGAAGGGACAGCTATTATTACTGGATGTCCACAGGCAGAATAGAAAATACTAATGGATGAGTTTTAAAGAACCACTTGCAAAAACTGTGGTAATTAGAATAATGGCACAGGGCCTAATAAAAATGGTTATTAAAGGTTTACACCCATTCACCACAGAAATAGGCCTAGTTTGGTGAGCAGTAAATCGGCACAACCACTTTCTGCACTGCTCTTTGGCCAAATTTCCTTTTATTCCCCTCCCTGGGTTTTCAGGGCAGCTAAAACCTCCAGAGCGGGCCGCTGCCGAGGGCTTGGCGTCGCCCGGTGGCGCAGCCCCAAGCACACAGCGCGTTCACGGTATCACTTTCACGTCAGAGCGCAACGCCAGCGCACCCTTATCGGGGCGCAAGGACCGGGAGGAGGCGGGAGGCCCCGAGGTGTTTGTCATGGCATCGCTCCCAGGACGCGCTCCTCGTGGCACTAATCCCGAGTGCCCCAGGACGCGC